GAGGCGCCGAGTTTTCCACAGTTGGGTCAATATGAAGCAAATACATCAGTTTTCCGCTTCTCTTCTGAACGTCGTGGGCAAAAATTGCAGTGTAACTTGAATGATCTCTTCTTGGTTCTAACGTCACTTAAGTATCTCCGTTTAGTTGATAAAGTGATAGTGTCCGACATACTATTTCCATCGCGTGCCCCGCAGCACGGTGGGCGCGGGGATGGGTATTTTTAAATGAACTAGTGTAGACTTGCGCAACACAAACCTCCCGTTGTCTCCCTTCATCCACCTGAATTCGGTGTCAAGGCAGATTACAAAAGACCAGCTGCTGGGTCGGGAGTGGTGGCTGTCACACACGCTTGGTCCGCGCACGATGGCTTTTGCCGAAACAACAAACGGGCTGCTCGGATCCCGTCTGTGTGGGAGTGCCAAAGGGGCCGCATTAAGAAGGAGCCATTGCAGCCTAACTCCCCGTCCCGAGAGGAGGATCCATTTATCCGGTCACTTGGCGTCTTCCAAGTCAATGACTTGGAAGACGCCAAGATAATTTTAACGCGCATTATACTGACGAAATATCAATCGTAGTGAGGACGAGTACGTTGTAAGACAAAAAAATTACCCAGCGCCGTTTGCTCTGATGTTCGGCTTATATAGAAGAAAAGAGACGACAACAATGATGATGATGATGATGATGACGACGACGACTATGACGAATAGGAAGGGGAAAGTAAGAAAGACGATGTCCGTTTTAGAATTTGGCGGGACCGAAACGAGGGCTTGATGAAAGAAACCTTATGTGGCCCTGACCTGCAGCTGCCAGACCATTATACTGTGACATAGAGGAGGAGGGGGCGGCCTGTTAGAAGGAATTCAAGTCTAATTTAACAGCCAAAACGAACGTCGAGAGGGAGTCCACTATCATGGTCGCTGATTTAAGCTTAATAATAATCCTCGTCTTTCTGGCGATCATGAAATCAGGAGTTTATCGGGTTAGGCTCTTTACATTCACGCCGGGAACTTTTTCCAGACACCATGACACCTTGTTAAGACAGTACGAGACGATATCGACAATCAAATCGAGTTTCATTTGCATGGCCAAGTCAAGCGGATCAATCATTACTTGGACGACGGCGGTCAACGTGCATTGTTTTCTGGCATACAAGTTTGAGTTGTCCCCATGGCCATAAATGCCCAGTACAGTTGAAGTTAAAATCCTTTCCTCCTGGCTAAAATTATCACAGCTGTCTAGCAGTCGTAGTTTGGAAGGTTTCCGACTTGCGCAATAACTGGGACTTACACGGAACCGAAGGTCAAACTTCTGCGAATTCTCGTTGTAATCCCTATGGCGCACTAACCCTTTACTTGCTGGCTTCGGCCGCTCACACCCCAGTTCGAGGATGAGAAGACCAGAATAAAACCGGACGGTTCATATGACCTTAACGGTCTACTGTTTGAGTCGCACACAAAAGGTCGAGAACTGAAGACTGGTCAGGTTAGGAGTGCGAATGAAGTAGCTATTTTCTGATTAACGTTTGGCTTATCCACTTTGTGCAAAACATTGATTCACTATGTACGTTTTCAGTTATAGTTAGTTAGACGATCATCCTGGCTGCAGCTAAGGCTTTTGCATTGATAAAGGCGTAGACAGAAGATGCTTGGTAAACCTAGTTAAAGATGCTCTTGGGGGGGGGAGGGGGATGAAAACGAAGTTGCCGCGAAATACGTTTGTAACGTCTAATGGTTGGGGGTGCTTAAAGCGCCAAAATAATCAAGACAAACTTAAATTAGCAGGCAAAGCTGGGGAACACCAAAATGAGGGATTTGATCTGTATAGAACTTTTGGCTGTTTTCTCACGTTGACAAGGCCTGAGCGTGTGCTGACAGTACTAAATTATCGATACAAGCGAGCAGGTGAGTTGCAGGGAGCAGTTCAAGAGAAGATGCGATCACTGGGACAAAAGGGTTTTTTTCCTACGTTTGGGATTCTCACTGGAACCCATCACCAGAGACAGTCGCGGATAAGGTTAGTGGTGGCGACACAGGGAGTGCAGTATTTGTAGTGTCTAAATGACGTGTAACCACATGCGTACTATAATTTTACCTCTCGCAATCACAATTCCAGTGACAGCGAGCAAAATGGTCGCTTGATCATCACGCCAACATCCAGCACGGATGATAAAGTCGCGGCAATTAACGACTTGGACGAGGACTGACAAGCCATCGTCGCATCGACTACGACCCCCACGTCCCACGGTAGCTACGTGCTATAACTACTGCACTCCTAGTGTCCCCACTATTCCTATCTGTGGCTGTCTCTGATGATAGGCTCAAGTGGGGATCCGAAACGTCGGGCAATAAACTTCTTGCTTCAGTGATTGCAGTACCAACTTATATCTGGCGGAAAATGCTGAGTTGTGCTCTACTTTTTTTTAGGCTTGCGAGAGAGAGAGATCGCAGTCTTTTAAGTCCGCCTGCATCGTGGCAGGTGAGGCATGGTTTGACCGTCTGGACTTGTGTTGCGGCCAAGTGGTATGGCACTCTCATTCACGTCATATCCAGGAATTATCCCGAGCGAAGCCCGGCGCGTGCGGAATCTGGAATAAGATTGTGTGCTACGTGCGTGGACGGGCTGTTCATCGTTATCGCTCCTTGCGTTCACCTCTGATGAATTGGGTTTTCTCTTCTCATTGGAATGCCTCGGGTGTGGTAAGAGAGAGAGAGAGATTGAGGTAGATGGAACGAAAGTCACCTTTGCACGGGAATTTGGATCCCGGTATTCCAGGTGACCTTTGGCGAAATTCAGGAGGGGGTTCAGGATTAGCGTTGGAGTTAGGATAGTTAAGATGACGGTTAGGCGGCTTGGGGTTAAGGTTATGAGGTTTGGTGTCACGTCTAAGAGGGCTGATTTTAGGTTAAGGGTTGAAGTTAGCACATGGGAATATAAAACCCCTGGAAGTTAACGCAAGGCCACGTCCAGTACGGGGAGTTCCATATTCTCACGTCCGACCATGGTCTCCGGCATAAATTTCCTTACCGAAATTCCGATATTTTTATCCTCTTTTATTTATACAGGCTTCCTTCTTTTGCCTCCTACTCCCGGCTTCGACTTTTCTGAAGCCGTGGAAGCTTGCCCCTTTCTGGTCTTTATGAAAGGAATCGCCAAAAATAACAGTAGTTTAGGGCAGGCGTCCCAAAAAACAATTTTACAAGACTCACAGAGCAGAAAACACTAGAGCTTGGTCATAAAAACTGAAAAAATGTGTCACTTACACCCAAAGCTAGGAGCGCTTCATGTATTTCGTGATCTACCACTGTACAACGAACGATGCCACTGTCGTAGGATTTTCTCGAGGAGGGCAGACCGCATGTTACATAAAGGAACGCTGGTTATGCTGAATAAAAAATGAAACTGGACGGCCAAGAACTTGATGAATAGACGTCACCATTCTTTAAATGACCAGTCTACTCTCTTCTTTTCAAAACAAACTCATTTACACTATAACATACTAATTGAATGGCCTAACTCATTTTTATCCCTTTTCATTCCCCGGCTTTTGCCGTCACTTCTCCCCATCCCATCTTCACATAATGTGGTTGCTTTCACCTAGCTCCTTCAGTGTCGTTTTTATTGTCTTGGCTTGACGATGCTGTGGGCGTCAGGGGCTTTCCGCCTGCTGACAACTCACAGTACAATCCTCGTTCAGGGTACACTACAGTGAGTGACCAATCTCATGAAATGTTGGCTGCGATTCCGAAATGTGTTTTCCATTAGGAAGGATTACTTCGGCACGGTGGTGATACTGATTATCTTGCAGCATAATCCTATAATATTTCGGACTCAGAAGGATGTTAGCTTTTGAATGCATGGCTTTTCAACCTCTTGTAGAAACCGCACTTGCTACAAAATGACTATTTAAGTAACAGGCGTTTTTCACATTGATTTTCGATGGTCTTGCCAACTCAAATATATTTTACAGAAATCACGAACAAAATGGGCTTTCTTTCAGTCATTTGATAGAGAATTACTTCTTCGTTATATTTTATACTTAAGGAAGGAGTATAATCAGGTTTTTAAAAAGTATTTTATTGCCGAATAATTTGGAGCCCGATCATTCGTTGCATCAGCGCAGAATGATCCCAGTCTACAAGGTGAAGGCGTTCTGCATAAAGAAAATCACATATTTTTCTATGCCGTTAGAAAGATATCATACAAAGTCCATAAAATTTTGCAATGAATGCGGGCTATGTTGTAAATTTCATGAGGAGCCGTGATAAACGGCCAGGTACGATGCTATATGAATGGACATTGCGCGGTCTTAAGAAATCTCACAATTAGAAACTCTTTTAAAACCTAATTATACCCCTTCCTTGAGTATAAAATATAAAGAAGATGTAATTCTCTATCAAACGACTGAAAGAAAACATATTTTCGTTTGTGATTTTTATAAGATATATTTGAATTCCCAAGACCATCGAAAATCAATGAGAAAAATACATTCTACATAAATAGTCACTTTTCACCGAGTACGGTTTCTACAGGAGATTGAAAAGCCATGCATTCAAAATTCGACATCCTGCCAAGTCCGAAATATTATAGGATTAAGCTGCATGATAATCAGTATTACAACGGCGCCTAAGTAATCCTTTCTAATCGAAAACGCACTTCGGAATTTCAGCCAACATTTCATGAGATCGGTCACCCACTGTAGTCCGAAAGTTAAGCCGTAGTATACGTCGAGTGATGGACCTTGATAATAAATCCAAGCAAGGATTGCACATAGGTTTTTGTGATTTCAAGCATGGAAGGGATATTTTGTTGTTTTAATCGACAGATCAAAAAGTCAGCCGTCAGGAGTGCTAGCCATGCGAATAAAGACGGCGCCATCTTCTCCACCCAAGGTTTTATTTTACGCAATTCATTAATAGATGGGCGTCGTGGCGGGAGTTGGTGGATGAGGAGCATGAGTAGAAGGAGAGTAATTAACAGCTCCATGTAAGTAAAGGAAATGCTACTCACTTTTTTGATTCACTTTGGCTCTTCCGGTTTTCTGCAGTTCCATGAGCGTCTGTCCACGGCCTCGACGATGCAGTATTGATCGACAATCGATTATTTGCATTTCCAATCGACTGATCTCTGCCTGAATCTCAGCCCTTCGCCCATCGTTGAAGTTGCCCTCGTAATGCGCGTCCTCTACCTCTTTCTGCAACTCTGATATACGTCTCTCCACTTTAGCCAATGCCTCACGTAGTTGGTCTTGCTCCTTCTGCATGTTTTCTGTACGCCGCCTGTAGCACTCGACCTGTTGTTTTTTCTGCTTCTCAATAGATCTCTGCGGCTGACTTTCACTGCCGCTGCTGCCGCCTGCCTTCTGCTGTGCGCCGCGTTTTTGGTTACGTTTGCCCATGGGTGGTCTGCCAGTCGACTGAATAATCTCACTCTCCTTTTCTGAACTCCGTCTCTGCCGGCCTCGGCTGACCTGTCGATTCTCTCTCTTCTCCATGCCTCCCTCTCCCCTGGTGACAACCTCGTTCGGAAATTCTTCGTCGCTTTGACGGTAGTTTGAGTGTTTCCCTTCTGCGCTCGTCTGCGGAGGGTCGTTCCTCTCCCACGTCTCCCCCTTCCTTGAAGGAATGTCTGCATCTTTGAGGTCCACATTCTGTGTTTCCTCGTCTCCCCTATTTGCCTCTTCCTTCCGGACCTCCGCTGACTTGGTCTTTGCTTTCCCTTTTGGTTGTTTTTCATCAACTTTCTTTTTTGCCTTTGTGGTTGCATTTCGTTCCTCTACTGCCGTTTCTGTCTGCCGGATTCCAGAGTTAGAGGTGTCACTTTCATTTTGCTCTGAGGTCACCTGTGATTCAGTATGCCCATCTTCTTCCTCGCACTCGTTTTCGTCACTCCTACTCGAGTCTTCCTTGTCTTCAGCCTGCTTGACGTCTAAGCCCCCACTGAGGTCTCTTTCGAGGGCTATCAGTCGGTCAGAACAGAATTTATGCGCCTTTTTGGTTTGTGCAAGACTAGTTCGCAGTTGCGCCCGATGACGTTTGCACTTCTCCAACTGCAGCAGTCTCTGTCGTTGCTGGGAGGCTGCGTGTTGCTCATTCTCGCCAATCAGGAGGTACTCTTGTTTCAGATCCTCAATCTCTTCCTTAGCCTGGTGTATTAGGTGGCTCAGTTTTCCTGGATAGGACTTATCTCTGCCAATGCGTTCGTCAATGCAGGAGGTGATGACATCCCAGGCTGTGCGAGCCTCCAGAAAGATGCCTTCTAGTTTCTCGAAATTTCTTACCGTTGAGCTCATGTCTCGGGTGTAGTTAGTCCATCTTTGCTGACCTTGTTTTAGCTCTGTCACCCGCCGGACAAATTCTTTGTTCTGATCGTCGATAAAATCTTCGTATTCTTGCACATCCTTATTTGCTTCCTGTGTGAGCTCAATGAGGCTAACACAGTAAACACAGAGTCCCTCAGTTAGCACTACTGCCAGTTTTTTGTCTAGTCGGCTGAAAAGAGAGCTCACGTCTCGTGACAGTATCGCGAGCTCCTGGAGCTTTTTGACTTTATCGACGTAGCTGGCACCACCTGACTCGCCACCGATTTCATCTGCTAGGTTTTTGCACTGGCTTTCCGTAAGGGTAGCTAGATTTGTTCCCCTTCTTGAGACAGCAACTTTGGTCCAAACTCTTTTCAGGGACTCTGGCTTGACAAATTTTAGACTGCGAAACTGCTCTTCAATTTCATCAAAAGCTTTCTGAAAGAATGTAACTGCGTTTTCCGCAAGGCTGTAAACAGATTCCAATGATTGAGGTGGCCTCTGACAACTTCTACTCCGAGTTCTAGGTCCAGAGGTCATTTCTGTAGGCATATACTTCCTACAGGCCGGCCCCTGATATACGGGCGTGAACTCAAAAAGTCAGCCTATCAGAAAAATACCAAGATTACTAACCAATAAAAAACAAGATAGACGGCCACTTCTTCCAACCTGACCTGCCAACAAGAATGGCCTGATATCTTCCTTTCTAGCGTTTCCAGTTGGCATTTTTTAGGCTTACGATGCAAGAAACCTTTCTTAAACGACTGAATGCAATAACATATAACTAACTCCACGCAGAGCACCCTGTTATGGGGGCGGTTTAATATGCCTTTATAAATATTCAGGTAAGATTGTTTCTATGCTTATGAACCTGTCTTTTACATAGGATGAGAGCCCTTACGACTATATGAGAACTAACTCTTGAACCCAGGTTCCACCAAACAGTTTGATTAATATTATGCGTGCTTTACTCATTTCTGCGCGGTCGGCCAGGGGCTTCCTTGATCACCACAGCCACAGACACGAACGATAAATTAATAAATTGGGGAAGAAACGTCTGTGCTCAGAATCCCCGTAGTTTGCGATACTGGTTTCGTGTTGAATTCTGATTTTATTTGCTTACTGATCTTCTGTATGTAGTGGCTAGCGCAAGAGTATTCTAGTAATTTTAAAGAAAGGCCATATTTTCTAGAAATATTTTAACCAGGATATAGCCAACAAGAATTTGCTTTCTATACTTAAATAGTATGATTTTAAATTATTGAGGCAGCTTACTTACGGCTTCAAGTCTATTCTACTGACTTTGGCAACACACTTTTGTCGGTTACATTGAAACTAGATAAAAAGGGGGTGGGGATTTTTCAGCGACCTGTAAAAAGGAACATTTCTCAACGAAAAATAATTCGAAAGATTGTATTTCCCATTGCTCAAAAATCAAGCAGTAAATCAGGGTTTCCTAACTTAGGTTATCAATAACCGAATATCATCTGTCTACGTAAACAAAGTAGGCCAAGAAAATCCGGCCTTTTGAAGGTAAGAGAAATTTAAACCAGGCGCGAACGCACGGCGATTCGAAAACGATACTTCTTTCCGTTGAGGTTCGGAATCGCCTTCTGACAGACCCTTAAAGCTTTTAATGTGTTTCGCTTGACCATGCCTACAACTGCTACAAAAAATTTAGGGAAAAGCCTGTATCTATGAATGATTTGGACAACCTCTCTTCGATCTGTAGGCCATCATGCTGCCTTGTTGCGTTGGAGAATAAGGAAGGAGAAACGCATACAATCGTTAAGTTACGAAGAGAAGACAATACGGTTAGACTGTTACATATAACACGTCTTGATTATTTTAATCCCAACGAGTTTTGTTGTATCCTCCTGCGTCACCAGTTTTTATTTCCTGAAAGTATTGATCTCCATCTCTTACGCTTCCGAGCATTATCTCCCTCTCCCCCTCCCTTACAGCGTGTAATATCACATAGAATTCCCTAATTTATTCAGTTTGCCTGTGTAGTACAGACTGAAAGCGACGCTTTAAAAATATGCTCGCGACCCCACGGATTAACATACACATGCATTTTGTCGTCACCCGCATTTCAGCATAGTCCCGTTTTACCTTCCGTTACATTTTTTTACGGTCTACTTGACACACTTAGGTACACATATTAAGCAATTTTTCCCCTCGCATGAAGTGCTCGGAGTCGATAGCGTCTGTATGAATGCGATACTTCTTATCTCTTTGGTCGGGCGGCGTGACCAGTCATCCTTGCCTTCAACGCCCACTAGGTTAGGCTAATAGTAGGTCCTTTTCAGAGAACGCTACAAGTGCTTGATCAATCTTCCGGACATGTGTGTATGTTATCAGTGAATGCACAATTGAAACAGGTAAAGGAAGGGACAGGTAGCCGGAAAGTGCTTTCAGTGGTCGTTTGCTAGTTAACAGAGTTGGATTTTCTTCGGAGACCAATATGGGCTGATGACGGAAGCAGGAGTCGATAAAAATTATGTGACAGGCAGTATGAGAGACGAGCTTATGGGATAGGAATGCAGACAGATATAAACCATTTACATAAAACATCGGAATAAGTAACCTTAGAACGAGAAAGCAATAATTCTGGCATACGATATGCGGGAGAATTCATGATGCATCAGTAGTATGGGAGTGGTAATAGTAGCAGCAGTAGCAGGGACCTCTGCACAAACAAGGGAAGACCCAGACATGACCCCCGCGTACTTTGCTTTCAAGAATTTCCGCCATGTCAAGCAGATATATCTTCTTACATATGAACATGGGGAACTAAGTGGTTAGTATATCGGAAGCACGTAAAGCAACCCACCATGAAACTGTGCTTGCCCGTTTCCTCCATTTTTGTCAAAAAAAATAATTTTAATCACATCCTTAAGCAGAACAGAACCGAAAAAAGACAACAAACTAGCAAACGACTATCGATAAAGGAGTAAGATGATAAAGTAGGAAAGGCTGATTTATAAAAACGTTACTAGGTGTTTTGGTCGATTTGTATAACTCATTTGGTCAAACTCTGAAAACGTCGGTGAGCTCGGTGAAGTTCGGATCCACGAGAGTAAGTGCAAGATTCGTGCTCTAGCCAGAGCTACAATGTCCCCAAATCAAGTCTCGTACTCGCTGCCGTGGATTCGAACCCACTTAAACCGCCGAAGTGAGTCAGGTGAAATACAGTACATTAGTAATATCTCGACTAGAAAATTATATCGGGTAATTTAACACGGGCGTTTTCCTTTATGTTCTACATTCCACCATCCAAAACATACTTTGCATTTGTGAGTTTATGCTTGAATTTGATAAATATAACTAAATAAATTTACAAAATGGGATTGCATGTCTCCCTCCATGTCAATAACAATGTAAACAAATAAGCAATCAAATCGAATAATAAATCCATTGATAGTTCGGCTGTTTTTGGTGCATCAGTTTGACGTTGCGGTTACTGCCGTGACGGTCGCAGACGGGATGTTGTAGCCGACCAAATTCCCGGTTGACTTTGCGCATCCGGCCTGCAGTTTATCGTCGATCTTTATTTTTTTTATAAAGTGCACACCCCAGGTGCCTAAATGGGCTGAGTTCCGTTGACATTGATGCTTGGTTCTCTCAAAACGTCAAACGGCGCCTTTTGATGCACGACTACTGCATTCTCCATGCTGACGACCAGTCCGCAGTTAGAGCAGCCGGACTTAAAGAGGTCGAAACTCCGCCGAATGTCGTCTCCCGTCGTGATGATTAGCTGAGAACGAGAATTCGTGGATGCTGAGAAGTTACCCGTCGGATGGGTAGTTGACGTTGACTCTCAGTCGCCCTTTATGTTTGGTGATCACTTGCATAGCGGGGGACATAAGAGTGAGGAGGAGGGAGAGAACGAATACACAACCCTGCTTCAATCTATTCGACATTGCGAAGGCTTCAGAGACTGCCCCGTTGTCCGTAGGGCGTGCCATCATCACGTCGTGTAGTTCATTTACCACTTGTGTGGGTTTTCCAGGAGATCCATGCTTCGGAGTGATTCCCTAGAGTCCATCGCTATTCACGGTGTCGGAGGCCTTCCTCAGATCAACGGCGGTAGTGTGGGGGCTGGTCTGTGTTTCCCCTAATTTTCTTGCAGGTGGCCGACTGCAAGAATCATGTCGACGGTTCCACCATGTTTCTGAAAAGAGTCCCTGATCCAGATGCTTGCTCATGCGATTGAGTAGGATTTGGGTAGAGACCTTGCCCGCAAAGTTGAGAGAGAAAATACTTTTGTGTTTATCGTAAAGTTGGCGTTCCCCTTTATCATTGTATTAGTGAATGTTGATGGGGTTTTTGAAGTTCTGGAGCGATTTTTCCCTGTTTCCACATATCTTGGAACAGGTACGTAAGCCGTTCCACGAGTCGTGCCCCGCCTATTTGTAAGCTTTGGGTGGGATTGTTTCGGCTGTTAGCGTTCTTCCGCCGGATAGCTGTTGTACTGTTCTGCTTGTATTCTGGAGCGAAGACGGATGAGGTGGTCGATATTGGTGAGCTCGCTTGCTATTAGCAGCTAAATTTACCCCAATTGTGGAATTAAATAAGCGTTGTAACGATGGAGACTGCAACTACGTTGTGGAAACCGGACTGAAATTGCAGACCCGCCTACATGAGCACATGAGCCAACGGGCAACTCAGAGACTAGGCCCAAACTCACAGCTTGCGACTCACATCGGAGAAACTGGCCACTGTTTTGAGTTTCAAGGATCCTCAAGTCGGGCACCTCAAGGACAGAAAGTCTCTCACTTAGGGCTTGGTACTCAGATGCCAACTCCATTAACAGGCATCTAAACCTTAAGGACGCAGGAATTCCTACGGCCCATGAAGTCTTACATCACTATATATGCCACGACCAGGACAAGACGGTCACATGGAGCTTGAGAATACCAAGCAAACATGGTCCGTCGACTAATTCACCCAAAACGGGGATACAAACGCAACCGACCCCAATTGTGGTGACGACAAACAACACAGGAGGCCACCAACATTCACAAACGACGGTCAGGCGGCCAAGGCTGCAAAAGAAGAAAAAAATCAATCAGCTCAAGTACAACTAATTCAACCGTTTATTAAAAATTCTGGTCGATTTTTGCATTAAACGTTTTGACCATGGAGAGCCGACCAAGCTCTCCGAAACGTCAGCAATACAATTCCCTTAATCTACTGAGCATTTCATTTTTCTCAGGAAACTACTCCAATTCATGCGTTTGGACAACAGCGACTCACAAATGACATGCACGCATAATCCAAGTGATAAATCTCGGAAAGCGAAAACCAAGGCACCACCGAGAGTCGAACTCGGGTCGCAGGATTCAGAGTCCTGAGTGCTAACCACTACACCATGGCGCCACGATCAGCCGCCTTCCAATAAAATACAAAGACCAGGCCTATGCCTAATCCCATTGACTATGATAGGTGACGGACGATGTGAACCTATATCGCTATGTACTACATTCGACACATCACATTTGCAGAAAACACCCTTTAACCACAAAAACACATTC